TCCCTTTCAGTGCTGCCCATTATCCACCCTCTGCAGGGCACCTTAGCCTGAGCAAAACACGTCTGGAGAAATTACAATAACAGAGCTGATGTTTATGTAAAGCACAGTCTGCAGCTATGCCCTGCGCTCCTCAGATCAAATTGACCTTTTATTTCAATAAACCTCATAGCATAAACGTCCATCCATGCAGAAGACCAGCATACAGACGAAGGAACCGCACAGATACTCTGCTGACGTGGCTCTCGTGGGCCATCTGAGTAAGGTTCAGTTCATTCACCATCATGGACATTTGAGGCAAATATCAGTCTGCTCCTCACAAAAAGCATCATTTAACTTGAAGCTACAGTCATGTGAACTACTGCTATGATGCTTTCTGCAGAAGCTTGCAAGCTCTAGTCCCTGTCAGCGCAATCTTGAGTATTTCACTCAAAATATCTTTTTCATACTTTTGTGCTCTGCAGAAAAGTAAAGGCTAAAATACACTATACGACTTTTAAAATCTGAACAGATTTTAGAACACTAGGCATCACAAACTTATTGACTCGTTCTGAATACAACAAACTCAAAATAGCAAGCATGTTTGGTCTCCAACAACTGGATAGAAGCATTTTCTGTGAAATATGTCAGTTAAAACCTGCAGACTGGCTCCAACTTTTGCTAACTATCATCAACTCGTCCAGACTCTTAATCTGAGCAAAAATCTGTACAAAAGTTGTGTAGTGCAATCCAGCCTTAAAGGAGTAGTTTCACTGGAGGAAACGTTATGGATTATGGGCTCGTATTTTAGGGGAAGCAATGGTTTGAAGATAAAAATGTTTTAAAGATGGATTTGATTCTTCCAAACACACAGCTTTTGTCTTTTCCAGATGTTAATTTATGGACTGGAGTGCTGTGGATTACTTGTGGATTATTGTGATGTTTTTATCAGATGTTTGGACTCTCATTCTGACGGCACCCATTCACTGCAGAGCATCCATTGCTGAGACAGTGATGCAATACTACATTTCTCCAAATCTGATGAAGAAACAAACTCACCTACATCTCGGATGGCCTGAGAGTAAGCACATTTTCAGTAGGGATGCACCGATACCACTTTTTCCAGTACTCGCCCGATACCGATACTTTTATTTTTTTGTACTTGCCGATACCGAGTACCGATACCAATATTTTTATTGCATTTGTACATTTTTTCAATATTGGGTACAGAAACCAAAAGAGTATGTATAATGTTAGTTGGTTAACTTCATTTATCAAATAGATAGTCAAACCAACATTTATTCAGACACCTTCAACATTTCTCACATTATCACAGTTTATTCGCTATAGTTTAGAAAATGGTAATA